GTCCAGCAGAACTTGACTTTAAGTTTGAAATAGGTTTTCAAAATGGCGGCCGTGGCGGCCATATTGGATTTCTGATCGACCCGAAAAATAACTAAAGCTCAGGTGACCTAAAAATAGGGGGTAGGGGTAACTAAAATCGGCTTTCTGAGTTAAAAGAATAAGATTTAGAAATTTTACTTCCATAATTCCAAAGAAAATAATATTTTCATCAATTCTACAAACATTCATACATATCTGATAACACACTTAGAAGAAATTGGATGAATTTGTTCTGCAAATGGTCAAAACACAAAAAAATCACCTAAAATCATGTTTTGTTAAATTGGTATCTTTGACCGATCATAACACATAAACGAACACACGGACATATAGGTTTTTTTTGCAATTTTTTAACTATGCCATCAACTCCTTTTTCCAAAAACCCATATAAGACAAAAAGTTTAATACGGGAAATTTTTGACTTCTCAGAGGTGTACATCCTTAATGTCATTGTCACTATTGTGAAATGTTTGTCAGTCAAAGTCCTTTTCAAAAGAAATACTCATAATAATTATTGGCATGCATTTAACAAAATGAGATCCTTGAGGCGGCCTTTGTTAGCCCTAGAGTACAATAAGACAGCTCTTCCCCTTTCTTTGCTCTTCCTGTTTAGTGGTAGAGTGATCTAGAAAAGTAGGACCATTTTTGTTATTAGCCATGTCATGTCTACTGTACATGTTTCAAGAAAGCCTTAAGTCATCCTCCGAAGAATGGTTTTAGTGACTAAAGTATACTATAAACACATTGGCTTTTAAACCAGTCTGTCAGCCATAATGTCTGAAAGGTTTCATGACGTCACTGTAGGGAAACTGGCGTAAAATGTTTTTAGTTAAAATGATGGTCTAAAACAACACAGATTTACGCAAGAATATTAATACCTTTTCCTGAATCCTTGTACTGTATGTATGTATGTATGTCTGTATGACATAAATAGTTCTGAAATAAAATGGGTTCAAACTAAAAACAACATTTTTTTTTTTTTTTTTGTACACTTTTATTTCATGCATGCAGATTAAAACTCTTGTAGTATGTACATATGGTACAGATAGTAATAGCGCAAAAATGTCCAAATCTAGTAGCTGAACAACAGATGGAGATCTGGTTCTATAATCAGCTGATCAGTTAGTCAACACAGTGAATCACGGCTTCAGATTAGGAACTGTCCCTTAACTAAATAGAAATGTGTTTACTACATCTTGCACAGAGGTTCACACAACGACATTACAGAAACTACGTACACCAACGTGGCTGGAGCAGAATTTAGAGCAGAGATATCCTATAATACATTTTATTACAAAATAATTTATTTACCATTTATAATCATAAATAATGTAAAACAAATTATAAAATCCTTCTCATTATCTTCACTTCCTTTAAACAATACTTATCAGTATGAATCTTCCCTCTCTAACCTATCATATATAACCGCATCTAAACAGCATACAATTGAAAGACTTATAAATACCTATCATAAAATGAAAAATACAACAACAATAATAATATAACTTGAAAAAAAATATAAAAAAAATTCCCAGATTATAATAACATCACACGTTAAAAACTTAAGAACACCTACAGTAGATCACAGATTGCAGTACACAAGGACCTGCTAATGTAGGTGTCCGGCTGGCACAATGCTTGTGGACTTGTCGTGGGTAGTATCTGTAACTACCTCATCTGTCCAAATTAAATGACACACAGCCGTTGACACCTGGGTTACAAGCTCAAGAAGCAAATCTGTAATTGGGATCATTGTACAATTTTTCACTAGCATCTTGGCACTTAGCATAAACACTCGAAAACATGACTGAACAATAAGTTACAAGAACACTTCGCTGATCGATAACCTAGCTTAGTTACTTTTGTTTTCCATATACTTAACTTGATCCTTAATCCCTCAAAATAGCCACAGCCCTATTCTTGTTACTAAAGTTACCATATAGAACTGAATAAAACATAAATAAATACTTAAAAAAATATTTATCATTTACAAATCTATATACAAAGTATCACAAATATTTAAAAATACCCCACTAAAATTAGGCTTCCACAAATTCATATTAACTGTTCAATGATCCCATTTACAATCTTTTGTTTGGTGACAAAACATATGACTTCTGAACTTTAATTGAAGCATGCTGTCTGTGTTAGGTCTTACTTTTACACATTTTTTCATTGCTTCATTGTGTTCATTAAATACACAGTTCATCAGTGGCTAAGAACAGTCCTGTATTAAGTGACCGACCAGATCTGGTCTGTCCTGACCCTACTGGTGAGCTGTAGGGAACAGAACTGTCTATGTGAACTTTCCTGGTAAGGTGGTGTTCACTTTCAAGTACATTTGTACATTTAACGCTTAATGCGTAGTGGACGCAGGGTTTGATTGGTTGTTAGCTCCTGCTTATCCTCCGCCCGTCAGTCCCAGGAGCGTCGTAACAACTCCTCCTTCATTGGGCAGAGTATCTTCTATCTCAAGTCGCTTATGTTGGGTTTAGGTAGCATGTACAATCAGTGACAGTAGCGATTATATTAGCATTGTAGATGATCGATCACAGAGTTTGACAGTAATCGGTCTGGAGATGGACAGAATAGAAAGGACAGGATAGTGACCCGGACAATCCAGGCTGTAGTCAACACATATTGACATTACAGGTGAAACACAACTTCATTCTCAGTTGTAGGACATTATCTCCATAACTATACTACTAAAACTTACTACAAAACAGCAAATCAGCTATCTGCATTTTCAAAAAGTTTTCTCAACTTTTTACTCTTCAAAGAAATGGAAGCATAATCAAGTCTTTTCATATCATTGATTACATTATTGATTTTTCTTAAAATTACAAACTTATGAATTTCATGAAAAATGCATAAAATCAAATGTAGATGTATCTTTGTGTAAAATCCCTATTAACTTCTCATAGACTGAACTTTCTTTAATTTAGTCTTTTGGTATTGAAAATTAAATGTTTCAAACAATAGCATAAAAGTTGCATATTATGTTTTAAATGTATGTATTTCTTAAGCAGTTCCATTTTTAAATCTAAATACTATTACACAAAACCATATATTTTACACAACTGAATTTTCAGAATATCAAATTTCCAGTACTACTATATCAAACTTAATTGAAAATTTTGTACAAAATGTGTACCCTTTGTGTTTTTTCTTTTGCAATATCTGGTACATTATTTTTGGAATCTTCTGAATAATACAAAATATACTTCTTTTGAAAAAAGAAGAAGATATTATCCTGAACCTGTACACAGGACGATGCTAACAAAACGAGGATGCAGTCTGTAAGCTATTAATGAAAGCACTAGGTCTCCAAGCTCATTATGTCTATCGAAAGAAGACTTTTCATTTGAAAGAGTATTTTTTTCCCCTTGACATCACTAATTACATGGACAGAAGGTCTTAAAACAGTAGATTTTCAACACTTCGAGGAGCAACAAAAAAAAACAAACTCCTTATTAGTTGAAATAACAGCAATTAAATTTCTGTTCAGTGCTGAACTTGGAAATAAATAGAACAACAACTTTGAGAGTCCTCTTAGTTTAGACATAACCAGCTGCACAAGGTTCCTAAGCCCTCTTTATTTTACTCTACTGCTAAACTTCAGAAGAAAAAATACTGATGCTATGAAATACATGTACTGGACACAGGTTTCGAAGATTTCTGAAGTATTACACAATTTATAGGTTTGGCATGCAATACTCTACTGAAACCACAGTTACCTAACAATCCCGGTGACAAATCTGTCGGACACAGATGTAATATGATGTATAAATACTTGACATAGCCCTCCCCTTGACGCGACGCGACCCTCCCTCCGCGATGGATACATTGGTGCTGCGGTACAGCTGGGCACGCTGAGTGGCCAGGTTTTGGATGTAGACCTTCCCTAGCTCCCTGCCCTACTGTTCCCCGCGAGCTACAGAGGCCCCCCTCTGAGCTGGCCCTCCCATTTCGCGATGCCAACCCCATTGTGTGTGGCCCCATTGTGCCTGGGCATAGGATTTGCCCCGATAGCACTTTCCCTTTTCCCCTTTGGCCTGGAAAAAAAAAAATCAAAACAATCTTTAGAACATGGTAAATAATACAACAATCGAACCTACAACCTACAACAAAAACAAAACTCATCATTATCAACTTGCAACTGTAATCTGTCATAAATGTTTGAATTTTGACCTATGTTGATTTATGATCTTCATCAGAAATTTAAAATTAATATATCACTTGAATGTTTTAAAGTTGCATTAACTTGAAGCTTGAATTAATCAGTCAAGCACACTTAACACATTTTATCAACTTAAATACACACATACCAGCTGATTTAAGGAGGGAGTTTGTAGCCTATGAATTTAGACGATGTTAGCTTTGAAGCGAGATGACCCAGAACTTACCTGTTTGGAGACAGGTCACACAGCATAGTGGACAGCGAGGCGTTCCCTCAAAGGCTGAGGGAACTGGTCAGAAAACTTTGTCCAGTTTTCCTCTCCCACCTGGTTCTTAAAGCCATGAAGGATCTACAGCAAAGAACATTAATCATATCATATCTACAACAGAGGGGATTTAGCATTATTATAATCTTTTAAGTAAAGAGGATTAGCATACAAACTTTACAATGGAGAAAAAAAAAAAGAATAATCTTTACAGCAGAGGCAAATGTGATGATTTGGGAATACAATGTAGCAAGATTTGTTTTAAATGGGGAGAAATTTTTTTGAAGTTGAGAATTTTTCAGTGTTGGAGTGTAACGTCGTTGCACCAAAAGTTATCAAATACATTTAAAGACGGAACACCATGCATGTTTCAAATCCTCTATTTAATAATAACTTGGTTTAACTTCGCAACCAACCAAATATGAATGATAATCCTAGCTAGGTCCTACAGAAAAGACCTCTTTCTTGCCCCACCCCTCAGCTCCCCCTGGGGACCCATCCCTCCATCAGTACAACAATTTGAATGCCCTATCACGTAAGGATGCTCCGAGTAAAGGTTTAGATGATGAAGAAGGCTATAGACGGACTCTGGTCCTTTGGACCAAATATATTAATAATACATTTTAACTTTAGGTATTCTACATAATAATAATTATCATTGAAACCCCCAGAATCATATGTAAAATATGATTTCATAATTTGATTCAGCACAAAGGGCCCCTACTAGTGTGTTTTCTGATTAAGTTTAACACTAGTGGCCAATTATTAATTTATAGTTTTTCCTGTTACCTTGTAGAACATGTCTTTTAGATCTGCCTTTGGCTGTGACCAGGATGCCACAGCATCACAGAAGAAAATGAAATCCTGAACAACACCCCCAGGATTAACGTTGATCATGTGACATACGCCACGGAAAGCCGAGTCTTTCTCCTCGTTATCACGAATGTTGCGTAGGGATGTACACCTGTAAAACAGACGGGGGTTAGCACATCGATACAGCACTCATTATGTACAGCATGAAGAACACGTTACATCTTGTTACACTCACCACACAATCTTTGTTTAGAATTTTAGCATTAAACACCAAAAACTACCAAACTGTAGCCACTATAAAGTTACTGCATTAAACCATTTACACAAAATCATGCAAGTAGAATGTTTCAAATTTGTGAAAGGATAGAAATTTAAAGAGTATCAAATTGTGAGAAAGCAGGTTTCAACTTCATACTTATAATTAAGGTCAGGCAATGACTGTTGCAGCATGAAAGCTAGCTTCTCCAAGGAATATAACTTCATTCTTTCAGGTATACATAAAATATATTTTTCAAAAATATGTTTCATTTTCAGGCAATATTTAAAGATTTTTTTTAGCTTTCGGTTCCGATATTCTAATTGGATAAGAAACTTTTTTGTACGGTGTTGTAAGATAACAGCTCTACAATCCAACATAACCATGGAAGTATTTTTGTCAACACTAATATAATAACAGCTGTAAATAATAACGGCAGATGAACTGCTAAGCTACTCAGTATTCTATACCTTACCTTCACAAATCATAAACTAGGGTAATTGAGCTTGGAAAAATGGGTATCTATCCTAATTGTCTTTGGAAAATAAACATTCTATCAGTATGAAGAAATATGTTACACACTATTAAATTACAGTTAAATAACAAGAGAGCAAGGGGCCTGAATAGCTCACCTGCTATTTACTCACATTATGTGAATATGATACAAGCTTATCAAAATAGCACAATGGATACAAGGCGAGAACAGGCAAAAATTTACTTGACCCCACTGTTATGCCCAAGTAATACATTATCTAGACCCATGGGACAGTGATCCTTAATCAAATAAGGTTTGAATCCTTTCCCTTGTATTAGAGGGGAAGTAGATTTACCCCTACTGGGTCCGGCTCCCAGGAGAGGGCTGCACAAAATTGATACAACATTGCATCCCCTTAGTCAAAATATACTCCAACCAAGTTGTCAACATATTTTCAGTCAGTATGGACAAGTGTTCAAATGAATGACATATTAACTGAGAGCATAAGCTCATTTAGCCTTTGGGCAGATATTAAATCTAAAACAATGTGCTAGCTCTCAAAACATCATCACTCGGGATAAATATGAGATACAAATAAAACCGTGATTGTATCCTCCCCACCCCATTGTCAAGTCAATCTGGCACATGTACAGTGACTGGGGTTGGGGTATCATTGGTGAGAATGGGATTGACAGGTTTACTGTTGGATATGAATAATTTGTGTACCACTTTAACAGAATCAAATGCTTATAAAATGTATAATAGATTAAAATTTCCAGAGATGTCAATTTTTTAATATATCACAATGCTACAATTTTCTGTCTTTTTATCAACCCAATTAATATTGTTTTGGGTGACATTAACAATAAATTAACACTCTTCTCTGAGCATGACATCATTTGCATATCAGCCTTACTAATAGTTCAAGTTTCGGGAGACAAAGTTCAGGTATATATTGATTATGATGAGAAATAGTAGTGGTATTGTTAAACGAATGAATAGGCATGTGAACCCCATGAAAAGAATACGGAATAGAATATACACAAACACAGAAATATATAATATAATATCATATCAAAGATATCTATTACATAAGAAAAAATAAAAGTAAAAAAATAAAGTGTTACACACCACTGCCGTATAAACTGTTGCAAACTAGGCGCCACCTCTTGTGGACATACTAAACCAAGGCGACCAATTGTTATGGCTACGTAACCACGGTGACGATGATATCAGACGATGGTGGCACAGAGACGAGCACGAGGGCAATGATAAGGGAAGAAAAACAGAGAAAGACAACAAATCAACCAAACATACAAGCAAATCAAATAATCATTGATAATAACCCACACCTGCTCCAGACACCCAGACAAGCTCTTTAACAACTGGCCGCTAAACTGGTACTTTTATTTTTATCTCACATTTGTTGCCAATTACTACTGGTTAATTCAAATTTCAAAATAATAATAAGTATAAAATATTGTCTTAAAAATATTCATATTCTTTGCAGGGACCACACTAAAGATCTTGCATCTTGATATTTTTACAAGATTGGGTTAACATTGCCAGTGTCATTGATAGCTTCTTCTAGATCTTACAACAGCGTATTTTAGATCTTATAACAACAAATATTTGCAAGAGAGGTTGTCTGATGTCAGTAGCATGAAATCATTTTTATAATCATGTAAAATATAATACAAGCAAAAGAATGTGACAATGTATGTGCTGACTTTGAGTACAATGGTCAGATGTACATGTTTACAAATCTTCAGTTCAAAAAACCTGAACAGAAAAAAAGAAACAAGGAATGTTAAAACATGTATAGACAGGACATACTGACAAACTACTTCAAATTGTGTATAGACAGGACATACTGACAAACTACTTCAAATTGAACTACTTTTACTATTTCATTTTTAAAACTCTCGTCCATTAATAATTCTTAAACATTCAATATTAACTGGCATGAAGATTTCAATCAGTCACCTCCCATAAAAAAATCATTTCAAAACTAGAAATGTCCTCTGAAAATAAAAAATAAAAAAAATGAACCAGTTAATTCCCCTAGGAACAAATATTTAAAACAAGAGAATTATTTTTCTAAAACAGTATGAACCTGTTTCCTCCCCTTGGCAAAATCATTTCTAAAGAGGAGATTGTCTTTGTGAACAAAATGTGTCAATATGAATATGAAAGTTATGACCCAGTCATTAAAAGAACCAGAATTATCTCCCTTAAATGGTTACATAATGCCATCATCCCACCACTGACCGGTCCAATAACACACCTTCTCATCATATTACTTTTACTTTCATCATAATCATCAATATTCAATTGGAATGCCCCCCCCCCCCCGGCATATTTTCCTCAGACAGGCAGAAAAACAATATAGCTTACCCTTACAATCCCAAATGAAAAATGTGTACAGGTTGTGTATAGCCAAATTAGACACCACAAAGACATTACATGTACACTGTAACATAATATTATTTAACCCATACTAGTAGAGAAAACACAAATTGATTACTTTCTGTGCATGAAAACACAATTTTGGATAATATAGATGAACCTGAAATCCCCATGAAATTTTTCCTCCACCTGGTTTAGGACATCGGAGCTACTTTGATAAGGTCTTACAATCCCATTTGTGTTTTCTGTTTACCCAAAATCTGCCTACGAGCAGTTTTATATTAAGCCACAACCAACTGTAAAAAATGGTATAGCGTGCATATTGGTCAATCATCACAAGGTACAGATTTAATACAATACGAAATTCAGGTTACACTTCTATTGTGAACAGTAAAAAAGAAATGCATGGAAAACAATTCTACTGCCCAAAGTCAGGATCTACTCAAGTAAGATGGAACATCAGCATGCAATGGACAACATTACTCGACAAGTAACAATCTCACATTTCCTCAACATTTCTATCAAATTCATGAAGTAGAATATTGATCATATTAAAATTATAAATTTGGTATTTTGTTTTACAAATTATAATCTGGATTCATTCCTTTCAGAATCAAAATTCAGGTAGCGAGTATCATTTATGATTCAGTTCATCAAGATATTTGAGATTATTTTTTTGGTACAATGAACTGGTTAGTTCTGGTGCGGTGATCTGGTGTAGAAACATACCTGTGTTCTCCAGGAGTGTTTTGGGGGTGTTGGGTCGGTTGATGATGTCGATGAGTGGAGCCAACACTAGGGTAACGTATGGCGTCATCTCTGTCGCAACTACAAAACACACACCACTCATCACTACAACGTATCAAACTCTCCTTCACTGAGTAACTTATCATAGTCTAACCCAAAACATTCAACATCAATGGAATCTCCTATCTCATAGGTTAGTTAAAAGTAACAACGGATAGACACCAATAGAAAGTTGCCATTTCAAAGATTAAGCTGAATAGTATTTTTAATATTGAAGCATCTGTTATCAGTGAAAAAGAGGCCAAGAGAGCCTGTATTGCTCACCTGGAAATGTTAGCATAATTGAGGTTGAAATAGCCAGATGTTGCTGGTAGTGTACATGCATTACATGGTTAGTCAGGGGTTATCTTTAAAAGCAATTTGACAAAATCCTGTCATTCATATAGGAAAAGGAGGATTTTGAAGAATTTGCTATGTTGCCCCTATTGGGCCTAGCCTTCTGCCCCCTTCTACTGAAGAAGGATTTTAAAGCAATTTTTCTATTTTCCCTTTTTGGCCCCGAACTCTGTCCCCTCAACGTTCAAACCCACCATTAATACAAAATTGATTTCCCTTCCCCATAGGATGCAATGTTCAAATTTGGTCAAAATACCTTCATCTCAATGGAAGAAGAAGGATATTAAAGCTATTTCTCTATATTCCTTATTGGGCCCTGCCTCTCTGCCAAGGGGGTCGGACCCACCGTTCATATAAAATTGGTTCAGACCCACCGTTTACACAAAAGTAAGTCACCTTCACCAAAGGATGCTTTAGAACAAATATAGACATAATCCTGTCATTCCTACAGAAGAAGGATTTTAAAGCTATTTTTCTTTGTTCCCTATTTGGCCTGCCCCTCAAGCCCCAGGGAAGTCAGACCCACCATTTATACAAAATTAACTTCCCTTCCCCACAGGATGCTACTGTTCAAATTTGGTCAAAATACCTTCATCCAAACAGAGGAAAAAAGATATTAAATCTATTCTTCTATATCCCTTATTCGGTCCCACCTCTCTGCCCCAAGAGGAGTAAGACTCACTATTTATACAAAATTGTTTCCCCTTTACCCAAGAGTGCTTCATACCAAATTTGGATAAAATCCTGTCATTCCTACAGAAGATGAAGGATTTTGAAGAATTTGCTATGTTTCCCCAATTGGGCCCTGCTCCCTGGGGGTCCACATTTGCTGTTTTTACAAAATTTAGGCCCTTTTGCCCAAGGATGCTCCAGTACAAATTGGGATGAAATCCCTTAATTACTATGGTAAATGAAGGATTTTAAAGGTTTTACCTATATTTCCCTTATTTGGCCCCGCCTCTCTGCCCCATGGAGGGCCACACGCACCTTTTATACAAAATTGAGTCCCCTTGGCCTAATGATGCTCCAGACCAAATTTAGTTAAAATCTACTGGGCCATTCAGGACTTGTAGCATTTTAAAGGAAAAGTTGACAGAAGGACGCTGCGGTATGGCATAAGCTCACCATGACGCTTCGGACCAGGTGAGCTAAAAATGAGATTCCTGGAACATTGTGTCACATAATTTTTGGCTGGAAGCTTCAAAATGACGCTGATCAAATTGCGTTCATAGCCCTACAAATGCAATTACTTCTGATAATCCTTACAGAGGAATTTGAATATAAAAGGCTCTTAGACGAAAGTATCGTGGAATTGTTCATTCATGTACATATTTACCTTACAAATGATGTAACAAAAGGCGACCACAGGTTACAAATGTGTAAATCAAGCCATCAGTTGATTTTCATACAAAATCTAAGCTCTAAGACACCCAGCTCCAACATTAAAAGAAACCCATGGACCATTATGCTCTCCTGATGCATAAAAATATGCTTGTTTTTGTGCGACAAAGCAATAGAGTAATTATGATGCGAAAATAATGCCTTTTCCACCATGTGTTCCTCGACAAAATTATACTGGGGATTGACCAAAATGTAACATGTATGTCTATTAGACAGGGGGATAGGTGACCCCTGGAGTGATGAAGAGTATATGATTCTAGAATATCTAGGTCTGAAGAAAAGGACTGTTGAAATTTCCGCCAATATGACCCATTTCAAACCCATCCCCCCTCCGAGGCCCCTGTTGGTTGGGTTCCCTGTAATTTACATTTTTGGTAATTTGTTTGGCCATGAAAGCTGCCGGAAATTTTTGGTCAGTCTCAGGTGACCTAATACTTCATTTAAATCGATGTACCAAGCTTTATAATAAGTTATAACAGGTTAGCCACTAAAGCATGCTTGCAGAAACAGTGTTAGATATGGTTCTTACTCATCTTGATGGAGATTTCTCCAATGGCCCATGTGGCATTGTTACACACCGAGATAAACTCTGGATTCAGGTTGGAGCCTAAAATAGGCATGAAGTCTCCTGGAAGTGGAATAAGCATAAAACATGGATGGATTTCTGAAAAAATCTGATTTTCTTCAATATCATTTCGTCAAAATATTTCAAAAGAAATGTTTACTTTTTGTTTTAACAGCATTGGGGATTTCCTCCCTGATTTCTCTTTTACAAACTTTTTTTTGACATGTAAAAAGAAATTGTTTCAAGGTATTCAAACATTTCAATATTCAACCAAAAAAATTATTCAATGAGAGCCAAGTCAGACAGTACGAATACAATGCAACACTCATTGTGCAAGAATGTAATCATCATACATAGCTTGTAGCCTATCCCAGACAAAAACCTTCTGGCAGTAATATAAGTGTTTCTTATTTGCTTCATGATATCAAAGGGAGATAATGACAATATTTCCTACCCCGACCCTATTTTTTCACACAAATTAACGAAGTTTCAAGCTTTATTGAGTCGTTATAATGAGCGTTATGAAGTTAACCATGTTCTTGTGTATTTAAAAACACACCCACAGCACAGCTGTCCCATGTGTGTGGAAGCACAAAAAAAAACATAAAAGAAGAAAGCCACAGTGACAAAAAAATAACGGGGTGATGTCACATAACGACTTGATAATGTAATAATTATATTGTTAATGACATGTATGAGGTGACGAGGAGAATTGAGAAATATCACTACAGGAACAACATAAGAAGAGATTTACCAACCATGCTTGCAAACAAGCACCCACCTATGCAAGGTTTGACATGCTGAAAACAGGCCTTGGTCAAGTCACCTAGAAGTGCAAATGAGCTCTGTCGAACCTCTGGCATGGGGTCCTGTTGTGTAGGGCAAGAGTACAATGTCATCTAGAGGCAAAATCAAAACTCCAAGCAAAACATCTGTATAATACCTTGGCTACATTGACCCGTTTCATCAGCAATTTGATATTCACCAGCACAACATGGTGTCAGAAATATTGTATTTGAATGGTATCTTGCAAATTTCAACAATTGGTTTTATTCATGTTTCTTGTGGGTTTTTTTTATTGAGTTCATATGAAAATTCTTGCAAAAAAAGACCTTTTCTTCCTTTCACAGTAACTTGAAATTTGGGAATTTTAGATTTTTTTTAATCTTTACAACATTGGGACAATATAGCCAATATCAAATGAAAATCACATCATCTGACCTACTGAAGAATGATTTACAAAATAAAGGACATCAACCGTTAAACGTTGGGGATATTACGATAGACATGTATACATAACTGAAATAGAAAGGTGAGTAAAACAACCATGTGTACTAGTTATACATATGTACAATAGACATTACTACTAAGTCATCTAAGTACAGTATAGTCCTGTAGTACTAAACACATGCAGACAAAGTGTATAGCATGAAATATGGACATCATTTATATCAAAGAAAAAAGTAAAATAAAATGCAGATAAAAAATCAACAACAACATCTCCAGGCTGAGCCTCATTCTGTCACCCTAAACGAGAAACCTTTACAATCTTGTTATTTAACTCCAAATTTAAAGGTATAGTTTTATTCTGTCACTCTAAATAGGATGTATGTATAGTTTCTTTCTGCAATTCCATGGGGAAGAGTAAAATGGGAAGTCTAAAATCTTATTCTAAAACTCTTACGTCTCATTCTTCATCTTTAAAATGGGAAGTCTGTAGGGTCTAATCTGTAAATGTTAATGGGATTTTGGTTTGTTTACGTTTATGTCCTATTATCACCTATGGTTATTTAAGGACGTGCCAGGTTTTGGTGGTGGAGGAAAGCCCTAGTTCCTGAAGAAAAACCACCGACCTACGGCCAGTACCTGGCGTAGGTCTCAAACCCGCGACCCAGTGGTGGAGGGCTAGTGGTAGCAGAATGCTAATAAGAAGTCTATTTGATCTCATTCTGTAACTCTTAAATGGGAATTCTATGATTTAGGATTTCATTCACCATTTACTTATGACTTAACTTTCTATTCTGGTTTTTTCATCCTTGTCTTGAAATTTGTTAATCTTAATTCCAAACTGTAATTCCTATCCCAAGGTTTTAATCTACAGTGTAACAAGATGAAAATGACTAATCATATTACCTCTCTTTAATAGCAATAGGGCCTGAGATCTTGTTTAGAATTAAGACTAAAGAGCTATACTTAGGACATGAGGCATTGCACATAGAGTTAAAACATCACATCAACGGCATAATGCAATTTTCACAATCACATCTTTCCTTTTTGGTAACACTTTTGACATTAAAAATTCCAGCCAGATGAGTGTATAGCCCTGAAAGTGACTTACCTGCATGCACTGAAACAACAACTTGAGGATATTACTGTTGGCCACGAGAGCTTCGATATGCTGTTCCAGGCCTTCTGCTAGGCCACTCAGCAGGTCTAGAGCCACAATCATGAAGTCTTTGTCTGGAGCCTCATACCGGTCAGGGTGCGACATGCTCATCTGCAAAGACATATGCAATTTATTTTCTTCATTCACAATTATCATGTATGTGACAACAGGACCGATTGATTTATTGGGGTTTAAAATCTTTGTAACAGGTATTTCATATCTACCCTACCCCTGGATTGCAAAATAAAGAAATTCTATGCATTGTGGATGTCGGATAAAAAATAATTCTGTCCCACACTGAAATCAATCCCGTTCATCCAATTGAAATAAAACCTGTCCATTATGAACTGGCTGTGTGTAATGGAATCCCCTAGATTTGATAAACAAATAGTAGATTCCTAAAAAACAACTTTCTCATTTGTTGTAAAAAATATTTTGGAAAATTAACAGGCTTTCTATCATATCTAACATTAATTCTCTAGTGGATTTGTGAATGATCTAACACAACAAACATTCATCAATAGTGGAGTTCTTTTTTCTTAGATAACTAATATAGTACACAGTGGAACTACAGTTGTAATGGCTTAAATATCCAGAAAATGGAGATAAAAATTGAGTGTTGAAAATAAACAGGATCAATCAGAATTTTTGATTGGTGTAAAAACAGCACTTTTAGTACTCTTTTTCATTTGTTATGCATATATTTATCAGTGGAAGATATTTTCATGATTTTTAGAAAGGGAATTCAACCTCAGAGAGCAGCTAGGAGAAACAATTTCAGTAGATGGGTATAATTAATTAACTATAGTGCCAACATGATTCTAATTACTGTCTACTTAAAAATTTAGAAACTTAAGCAGAGAATAAACTTCAGATTTAATAAGAATTCTGGCATGTGTCAAGTATTTATTTTTTATTAAATTGATAAAAGCTGATTTCAAAATTATTCAGCAGAAACGTTGTACAAGAGAAATGTTTTAACCTGCGGAAAGTATGCAGGTGTAAATTTTGCACCTGTAACTTCTTCATGCAAACTTACAAAGTTCTGGTTCAGCGTCTGTTCCACCAGGGATACACATCTGCGGTACACTGGTTCGCAGTAGGGCAGGAACCCAGACTGAAGGGCGGTCGCTACACTAGACAGACACTGTAAACACCAACAGACTTCATCATGGCACATCAATATTCAAAAACATATGTCTCCCCTAATTAGCCAATAGACAAACTTTGGTGTAAAAAATTAACAAAGGGCCATGTCTCTTTATATAGTGGGGCACAAGACCCGAATTTAGAAAGCGACACTCCTACTTCCGAAGATACATTAAAACTACAGCAAGTTTGGTCAACGTAAGTGAAATAACATGGACATTATGTCGTGGACAAACTTTGGTACTAAAAATAAACAAAGGGCCATTACTCTGTATATAGTGGGGCACAAAATCTGATTTTAGTGCAAGAGATTCCACCTTCCTAAGATACATAAATATGGCAAGTTTGGTCAACGTAGGTGAAATAACATGGAACTTATGCTCCAGACAAACTTCGGCATTAAAAATAAACAAAGGGCCATAACTCTGTATATAGTGAAGCACGAGACCTAATTCCATTTACCTGCACACCTTCTGTTGTGGGTGATGCAGGTATACTTCTAAAGTTTGATCACGATATCTTTAACGGTTTAAAATGTACGGGCCGGACAAGAATTTACTGAAAATGTTGCACTTATTAGACCTTTGACCTTGAGGTGAAAGTCACAGTGACCTAATTCCAGTGCACTGCACACCTTCTGTGGGTGATGCATGCATACCTAAATTTCATCAAGATATATGTAAAGATTTAAAAGTTATGGCCCGGACAAGTTGCGATTAGAAGAAGCAGAAGAAGAACCAGTACTAATACAATATGTTCATTCGAAGGGGAAACATAATTATCAAACTTAAAAATTCATCATATTATCCATACAACAAGTCTATATTAAATGTTTTCTATATATCAATGTTAATGCAATTTTAATATAGACAACAGCTACGTCAGACAGTACGAATACAATGCAACACTCATTGTCCAAGAACTTGTGTGCAAGAATGTTATCATCATACATAGCTTTTACCATACAAACTTGGGCAACTATTCCTGGGATTCTTTTGTTTTTCACTTTGTTAATCTGATTCACTGATGATTGCTTTTTTCCTAGTTCTCTTCTATATAACTAATGCAACAAGACTATTGCAGGAGCTTTAACGGTTTAAAATGTACGGGCCGGACAAGAATTTACTGAAAATGTTGCACTTATTAGACCTTTGACTTTGAGGTGAAGGTCACAGTGACCTAATTCGAGTGCACTGCACACCTTCTGTGGGTGATGCATGCATTGATCAAGATATATGTAACAATTTTAAAGTTATGGCCCGGACAATTTGCGATTAGAAGAACCAGAAGGGGAGACATAATTATCAAACTTAAAAAAAATCATCATATTAGTCATACAACAAATCTATATTGAATGTTTTCCATATAGACAACAGCTACGTCAGACAGTACGAATACAATGCAACACTCATTGTCCAAGAACTTGTGTGCAAGAATGTTATCATCATACATAGCTTTTACCATACAAACTTGGGCAACTATTCCTGGGATTCTTTTGTTTTTCACTTTGTTAATCTGATTCACTGATGATTGCTTTTTTCCTAGTTCTCTTCTATATAACTAATGCAATAAGATTATTGCAGGAGCTGAACAATATACACCTGTAGCAAGTGAATATTTTCATTCAACTTAGAAGCTAGTCCTGGTCTTCTTGGTAAAATATGAATACTGACAATGTTTCATCAAGATTTGGTCATAACCACCTAGAGTGCAGTTTGCAAATCAATTATACACATATTTGGTTCAACTTTGAAGTTAGCCCTAGTCTTTGTACATTTTACACGCTTACAATGTTTGCTTTCTTGAGGAAACTAAAGAGTCGACGCTGACCAATTGGAATGCAGTATGCTGTTCAATGGAACATGCGTTGTCAAGACATTTCATTTCTTGCTCATTGTTTAGCATAACAGTATTTATCAATGTCCACACAGAACTTATTTGCTGGAAAATGAGGAAGCACTGCATATTCTGAATTTTTTATTTTTTGTTTTCTACTAATGTTTTGCCATCACTGACCTCCAAGAGTGGGAAGAGATCTTTGTCCTCGTCCTTCAGTACATTCCACTTCTGTATCAGGGGCGGCATCAACATGTTGACGTAGTCCTGAAATCCACCAATCATTTAGATGTTGAACAAGTCCCAAACACGGGAAAAATATATACCCCCACCATTGTATATGGGGACATATACCATATTTCTACTGAACTAGCTGATAACTGAGCTCCCATTACAATCAGTATTAGCAGGTCAAGCAATATCTCAGTGAGGTATAAAGTTTACTGTCTAGATAGATTGTACATAATTGATATATTGTGATATGTTAATCTTATTTTAGAAGATCCAACTTACTGGCTTATTAAGATGATGGCCAACTGAGTCTGCAAGGGTTCCAATAGCATCATATAGAATCAGAAGATTCTTATGCTGAAAAAGAAAGGAAATATTTTTTTGCAAATTTTACAAATGAAATCAACTCCATTCTGCTATACAAGTAATTTTCCTCATAATTCAAATGTATTATTGATATTAAGGTAAATCTACTATCAAGCAGAGAAAATAAGCATGTTGTCAGGCTTTACAAGATTCTTGACCTTTATTTACTGAAGGCATACAACATTGTTTTTATGAGTAGTTACTGCTATCTGTATAATTTATATACCAACAATTCCACAATTAAACCCGGATACACCAGCATTTCCTCATACTTGTTTTAAGTACATGTACAGCTAAACTCCTGATACTTGTTTTTAAGTACATGTACAGCTAAGCTCCTGATACTTGTTTTTAAGCACATGTACAGCTAAGCTCCCGATACTTGTTTTAAGTACATGTACAGCTAAGCTCCTGATACTTGTTGAAAGTATACCACAATGTTAACACATTTACAACTTGATACTTGTTAAAAACTCTTTATAAGCATTAATTCCAATATTTGTTGAAGTTTTAAACCATATTGATACACACATTTACTATTGCTATTTTTATCACTTGGTACTGCACCCTGTCTAGCTAGAATAAACTTTTAAGGCACTTTACAATCCCTTCTTCCTCAAACTTGCATTTACTTGAATACCCCAATATCATGTTTTCCTCAAACTTATATTTATCCCCAACTGCTCTAGTCCTCAGTATTTATCCTATCCTTTCAATTTTCTAACAGAAACATTCATTATTTAAGTGTGTAAAACTATGTTGCAATGGATATATCAGAAATCTCAAAACAGATTCTCAACCATCTCTATCAATATAAATATATCCGGTAGCTATGTTTTTAATATTGAGCATCCTTTTTAAATCGTTTAACCTCATTAAACTCCTTTCCTCTTTCCATTATCTTATTAACCTGACATAAGCAGTTTGCTATGTACCATGTATTCTTCTTCTATTGATATGGACCCAACGAGTTTGAGTAAGTAGGGTTTTACTGTACAATGATATGCAATCAAAGCAGTTTGAAGACTTTGAAGAGCTGTATATTGCCCACTTACTACTAGTCCCATGTCATCTGGCTGAATACCTTCATGTGTTTTTTTTTGTGGAATCCTGCTTAACAGCATCTTTTCTCGAAGTGTCACCCAAAATGACTGTTACAGCACAGGCCCTGTAGCAACTTGTTTCAGGTGTAAACCAGTGTTTTAAGTGTTATTACCTGGTATTTGTTGAAAGCATACACCAGTGTTTCCAGGATGAACCCAAGGTAAGGAACTAACTCGGTACAAGCCTCCTCTTCCAGGGTGGCAAACGCGGAGCAAGCCGCTTCCTGTACTCGTTTGTTGGAGTCTAGCACTCGCTTCAGTAACTAGAAATACACCAAAACACTGAATAAGATATATTTTGTTTTAAACAATAATATCTATTTTTAAAAACAGAACACTGAACAAATTATGCTGTAAGTTTTCTTCGAAGATGTGTTCGATAGCAACATTTTGTTGTGCTTATGCCTGTAGTACATTAACAATCATGGTAAAAAATAGATTTGGTCATTTTCATTATAAGATTTTGTAGGCCCCAACCCAGGGCAAAATTGTAAGATCTAGGGGCATGAAATTACCAATAAAAACCTGTGCAATCCTTATTTCCTTACCTCTGTCATGAGTGGTTTAAGGTACGACTCGTGGGGCTGCCCCACCACCCAGTGAGCATATCGACTAAGCGTCCAGCACGTAATGGATCGCACAAGGGCCTTTTTGTCCGACAGTCGGCTGATCAGATAGGGAATGAGTTCAGGAAGGTGTGGGATCATTCCATTCATGCAGCCCTCAGCGATGGCACCTAGCACCAGGATGCCAGACTCCTTGATATCCCAATCATTGTGGAACAGCGTCTCCTTCAGGATAGGAAGCAAGATGGGAAGGATCTCCTCACGGAACACGTTTGCGAGCACATCAAGGGCTGCTGCAGAGCACTTTCCTGAGGAGAGAGGGTCATGGTAGCTATAGGGACGCAAACATATCAAGGTCTCTTTGTTTTGGGACAGAGAAAGGTCAAGAGGAGGGGGGAGGGGGTTCCTATTAAACATATATTTCCTGTCCCCAGGGTTGCATTTAGTCACAAAAAACCACCAGTACACCTCTCCCAGGGGTTATAAAATCACACAAACAAACTAGACCCGTCTAAATTGACTGGAAAATTAAAATTATGCAACACATAGATTTTTACCACAGATTCCCATTTTTGTGTGAGATAACTTCTGTTTGAATGTAATGTACATGTTTTAGTGCATCATAAAATAAGAAATGAATGTCAGTACTGCTAAATCAACAAACTGAAAATCAATGGAAATTCATCCTCAACATACATGCCTAACTATCAGTCTTTAAGGTCTATCAGCATGCACTAGAGTTGTACATGAGCAGGGGCATTATGTATGTCTATTACATAACAGTGTAGAAATGAACATAATAAAACAAACACAATGGATTTGATTAACATAGAATTGGTTTTAAGCGCAAAATTTGCTACTCAATTATCTGAATAAGAATATACATTTCAAACATAAAATATATCTTTTGGTATGGTTTTGCTAAAAGTAAAAATAAGGCAACAAATATTACAGAAAAAAGCAAAACCAGAATAATTTAAAATCAAATCAAGAGGCACAGAGGGCCTACATTGGTTTTCAGGACAAAACTTATTTTGAATCTCCACCACACAAGAATGTTTCCAGTAAAATGTGAAATTTCATCCAACAAAAATTATTTTAAGAAAATATGACAGATGACAGACACCATGGTATGACATTACATAGGCTCACATTGGTCCTATGGGCCTTTAGATTTCAAATATTGAGAAAATGCACGCAATATCCAACAATCTTATAATTTGTAGAGAAATCATGCTATGTAAAAAGCATTCACAAACTGGAATAATCTTTGGCACACTGCAATGTGAAAATAGGTGAATTACTAGGAACTTGTCATAGAAATATCATGCTGATGTATAATTGAAAATAGTCTAAGGCAGAAGCAAAGGAGCTTTGCAGGATTTGAGGTATTGGCCTGCTGGATATCATAGCGTGATTGTAGAACCGATTTATAAAACAAATCAAGACTTGGAGGCTTTTTCTAATGTGTCTTCTGCTCCAGGGATCAAAACTGATCTACACTTTTTGCTTATTTTCTATTGGCTAATATGTTACAGAAAGACTCTCTCACACCCCTCATCATGACCTATGAAAATCTGACAGAAACAAACCAAATAAGCGCACCCTTCAAACAGCATAAAGTAAGGCAGCAGAAAGGAATATATATTAAGCCCACTATTATAATATTTTTTTAGTGTAAAGCAGAGGAAATATTTTGACTATTTCAAATGGATTTTGTAGTGGTAAAAATCAGACCATGATTCATAATTCACTTGTAGACATTGCAGGATATATATCTAGGGTATAATCAGACAGTGAAGGGATATATATATAGAGAGTATAAATCAGACAGTGAAGGGATATATATATATATATAGGGTATAAATCAGACAGTGAAGGGATATATTTAGAGTATAAATCAGACAGTGAAGGGATATATATATATAGGGTATAAATCAGACCGTGAAGGGATATATATAGAGTATAAATCAGACCGTGAAGGGATATATATATATATAGATTATAAATCAGACCGTGATTCATAATTCACTTGTCAACATTGAAGGGTTATATATACAGTGAAACCCCACTTATGGCGGACTATGTCTAAACGACAAGTCCATAACATATACAGCTTCTTTATTTTACTTCCCTTCTAAATAGTTATGGCTATATGTTTTCATTGTTGAACACCTTTTTTGTCTTATCAATTGTTGTCATCTTTATTGAACTTCTTTTTACTTCCATCATCTATTATCCACTATATTTACAGTGCTTATCCTGTCTGTTGTCCAAGCAGATTAAAACATGACTATGTCGGACGAACCTTGGATTCATTGAATACAATGTATTCCTAGAACTACTGATGGTGACCTGACAAATTAATGAATTACTTGTAAGACATTGTAGAGGTGTATATATATAGACCAGCAATATGTACAGTACTTGTAGGATAGTGTGTTTCATAAATAGACATTCAGCAGATATGTGCGAAATTCAATGTTAAGTAGAAACTGAAGCACTAGGTGAGAGGAAGTACAGAATTATGTCACGTTATATTGCTTGCTTTGGGGAGGCATTCATTTAGCAGGTAATGGATATAGGCGAATGAAAAATTGCATAAAAAAATTGAAATGTTTCTGACTAGAAATAACAACTTACTTCTTAAGTCTACTGTATATAAATATGCAGTATGAAATATCTTCCAATTAGAAGTGTTATAAGCAATTAAAACCATATGTAACTTACACATTGTGAGAAAAAGATTTTTGTATAAACTTGAGACTTTATCATACATAAAACTATATAGTCAAAATTTATGCAGAAATTTAAAAACAAATTTAAAGCCTAGTCTTATATGTGGCAAATATTTTATGCCTTAAAATAAGCACTGGTGTATTTACAGTATGTTTTTATATTGTATACAAAACGGAAAAAATAATTCTTGGTTGCAAGCTCTTACTTTCTCTCTTTTCCTCTAGTATACAAGACATTTCAATATTTCATGCAAAAGCAGATGCTATACACTTACTGAGATTCCAGTCCGAGAGACTATCATCATCGTCGAAGCCGTCGTCTGACAACTCTCCATCCTATCACAGAAAACACAGCATATCAAATACAACCTTTCTTACAGTTTATATTCTTTTCTTGTCAAAATACATTCTTAGGCCAAATGAAATTAATTACTTGGTTCTCAGGCCAATTTTTTTCAAAATAGATGCGGCAGGGCGTGTTTTTTTCCCCGTTTTACATGGCAAAAATTAGAGGAGGGCGATTTTTTTTTTATTGTGTAGTCTGTAAAACGTTCATTGTGGACATTACCTTGTCTTTTTATAGTTGTGTAGAGACCTGTCATAGAGCAAGCCTCCGAAAATCCCCCCACAATGTTCCAGACGAGAATCACGAACCCCCCATTCTTATTTGTACCGAAATGAGCGCCATTTGTATACAAGACTTATAAGTCATAATCATTTTGACGCTTGCCTGTATCTCAATCCTTACCTTTAATCAAACGTTTTTGGGACTTGGGTGACCTATAATGAGTAAAAACGACATGCGGACCAATTTTCCGGATTTTTTTAAAGATGGGGGCTGGCGCATTCACATTTTTTTTTTTATTACTTTCACAATAAAATCGGCAATGTGCACGGTGTCATAAAATGTGCGTGGGCCTGAGAACCAAGCAATCAATTTTTTTTGGCCTTATACTGCTTAAGTTATTAAATTGTCTCCCCTGAGTTTGTGGCATCACAATAGCACTGTTTGTGTTTTAGTTTTTATTTACCATTCACTGAAAATTAAATAAATTTAAAAACCAATATTTTTTAAAATTATTGAAATCTTCCATTGGCCACACAACAAAAATGAAACATCACAAAAGCACAAACTGCCAAAGAAAATTGGTCTCTGGTTATTAGAAATGAAACCTTGCAATGTTCTGGAGGTGTGTACTGTGGAGACGGGTAGAAATAAAGAAATCTACTTACATTGGTGCCATTACCTACCTCCTCACCGTCCTGGTGTTTCTGACTGTGGGTGCGGGACTTGTGGAAACGAGGTTTGATGTCAGACTCCTTGTCCGGCACCATCTCATCCTCCTCCACATCTCCCTGGAATAAATATTTACATTTTATGTATAGAAATCAAATGTAAATATTCCCAGTAATCTAATTTTCTCAAAATAACCACTTTTACTGAGAGGGCAGAAGGATGTATCTAGTATACCCCAAAGTCTTAAATTCAGTGGCAACACTCCTGAGAAATAAGATCCTTGTATCGAGCTACATGCCATCATTATTGTCAAATAGTTCTTAATTGCTCTAGGAAACCCAATGCATTTCGCTAAAAAAAGGTTCAAAATTCACTGTTTAAACATACTGTACTTGATCAACACAAAATTTTCTGAAGCGGTCCTTTGGACCTCTGAGTCGTATAGACTACAGGTATAAATAAAATTCCTACATCAAACAGAAATTACTCTGAATTCCAGACACTGAGGTTGTCATACGAGACCTATAAGGCTACTGATATCCTCATGTTGTAATTTGTTGGCAAAGATTGCACAGCACCATCCCATCCATTCCATCTCACTGGTATGTATACCTTTATACTGTATTTTTCGTTTGAAGTGGATTGATTTCTTAACTTGACAGAAATCAAATAAAGCTTTTCCAGATATACTGGCTAAATTTTCTTAGTTTCAAATAAAAGTTACTGAAAGTTTTTTAAGATTTAAATTCATACATAATAAACTCACCCATGATAATAACATTTATAGTGTCAGTGGTGGGCTTGCATAGCTGTTTGTTAAATATATTTCTTGGTCAATAGTAACTTTACTCAAGTTTGTTGAAGTAATACCACGGTGTACATACCTTTAGCAGTATAATGTCAATCTCGGAGTACTTCATGCCTTTAACGAGGACAGGGACTAGTCGCTCGATGTGTGAGGCTAGCACATCCTTACAGATAGGCTGTTCCGCCAGTGACAACCAGAACTCGCATGCCTCCAATGCCACGCTGTCATCATCATCCTGAGTTCGCAGCATCATGTACTATAAACAAAATTAAAGATCATAAAAATCTAGTATGTATGGAAATGTAATTAAGAATTACCTGTAAATCATCTTCATCTGAACTTGTCATACAACCATATCTGTTATGACATCAATTACTTACCACAATGATGTTATGAAAACCACATGTGTAATAATATTGATATGACCTATTTGGCCTTTCATACTTATAGTAGGATATACAACCACTGTCCAGTGTGACCTATGGCATTCTAACAGAATTAACTTCACCTCTTTAATAATATTTTTGTTATCCCTGACCTATTGTACTCTAAAATGCTGATATGCTGTGATCATTATGACATTTTATGTGACCCCTGACCTACTGACCTCTATGATGCTGTTGATATGAGGTATCAATCTGTCCATTCGGACCTCCACCAACATCACTAGTGCTCGGCAGACATTCTTTCTCACTTCAGTGTCATCATCCGTGGCTAGGAAAAACAGGTTCTGTGTGAAATAAGGAACAGATATTGTATACCACGAACATACTTGTATTATCATCACACATTTCTTACTGGCATACCAGAATCTTCGCTAAAAAATATGATTTGAACTAAATGTTTTTCAAAACATTGCTTATTGTCGTAACAATTTTACTACAAGGTTTCTCAACATCAAACTTACATCTGAGCCCAATGAATTTGAAAGAGATTTTAATTCACCGAAGTTTATTATTCTTCACCCATGCATCATTCTACAGGCCAACTAAAATGACCCTCTAGGCCTTTTGGTAATTTTCAGACTTTAAAACATTTTGAACCCTGCAACTTCACAAGGGGACCAATGCAAGGCAATTATGTTTTCAAAGTTTATAGTCCTTTACTGCAGCCTGCTACAAATCAAATATCACGACCCTAGGCCTATTTGCTAAAGATCTTAACACATTACACCAGAAAGTCAAGGTGACTAAAGGTCATTCATTTTGCAAATTTCAAAGCCCTTCACACCAGCATGATACAGGGCAAATATGTTGATCCTAAGCCTCTTAGTTATCCAGAAGAAAGTGTTTAAATACACATTTGACCTTTTCGAGCTAAAAATCAATATGGGTGATGTGTTTAATCTTTAACTTAAAAACTTCTTAACAGGACAAAACAACACATTTCAAGTCAAATTAAGAAATTGTATCTGTCTATATGATTACAGTACAGTAACACAGGTTTATTATGAAGATTAATTAGTCCTGATCTTTCCTGCACTTACCTCAATGAAGCTGTCGATATGCACCATCAGGGCCTGCGTCCGACTGATGATGAACTGGTTTACACACGCTATGGCATGGGATCTATCAACAAAGACACACAGTTCAAATATAATCCAATTACTCCTTGGTGCTTAAGACATTATTTAATTTAAAGTACCACATTTTAATTAATTTTAGTGCCATTTCTAGACTGCAAAATAATTAGACTTGGAAGAGTTTGTGAAATGAAGAGATAACAGAATCACTCCATACCATGAAGATATGACATAGAAATCTTAATTTGAGGCTTGCCTCAAGTCCATGACATTCAAAAATTATCTATGACATACCCTCACCATAGGAAAAGACTTGTTTCCCCTCCCGTTCTATCACCAATATGTTACCAATATGATTTATATATGCACAAGGCTATCCCTTTCCAGAGAAGACTAATAGAATCTTCCCCTACCTTGAGGGTGTGACAGAGAAATGTCCAACTCGAGGGATGATATTCTTTATTGTCTTAACCGAGGAAAAGGCCTCGGTTAAGACAATAAAGAATATCATCCCTAAGGTTGGACATTTCTCTGTCACACCCTCAAGGTAGGGGATGAGCGATTTTTCTGTCTTACTCCTCCCATGGTGGGGAAAATATTCTATTAATCTTTTCAAGCTGCAATGTGAGATAATAATCACCTGATTTTGGGACTGTTATGTTTAAAGAACTGAAGGAACTTGGGAATGAGGATGTTGAGGGGTCGGGTGCTGTCATTATCAAGGTCCTCAGCCGTATCCTCACAGATCTTCTGTAATGCGCCAAAAGCTCCCTGAAACAAGCAAAACAGAATTTACATTGATAATCCCAATCAGTATGTAAGTAATTCTAAACAATAATAATAATACCATAAAAGACTATTCTATCACCTACAGCACCGACAACACTGCATGGGCCCTTCCACGTACCTATACACTTATATCTGGAAGATATATATAATATGCATTTACAGTCTTGCCGCATCGGTGCATCGTATCGCGGCCCTTGAGATCCGATACATCGATGAATTTTTACACTCCTAACAAATAGACGCCACAGTTATTATAGCACACCTTCATCTCTGTTGTAAGGGCCTTTATCAATACAGCTGTGATAGAAATTACCAAGTATGTTTATCTTAATGAAGTCATTAGGTTAGGAATAAATTCAATAGATGTACAATCTTTTGCATGTACAAAGATGTGTCAGCTGTACACACAAACCAAAGCGCCCAGATCAGACTGACAAGGTTCTATTGTACATAGAAACCATCATGTTCAGACTAAAGAATGACTACTTTGCAGACTGACAAAGCTTTCCGACCATGGCTTATTCCATACGGTACTCATCTATAGCAGATATACACAGTTAAATCCAGATCCTTATGACTTTCTTCTATGCTAGATGTCATCAACTAATAATTTTCGAGGGGTAGTACTTAATGTACCAACCACATATTCATTATTAATACTTGATGGGTGTCCCATATCGACCATTACCAACTCCTGTGTATTTATATCATTACCAAGCATCATTCATCCTCAACTAAACAAGTGGCCCAATGGGCCTGCATCGCTCACCTGGTATAAATCTCACACTTGTAACCTTAAAAGTGATCTAAAATAAAGCTACAGGCAAAATATCAGTATTTATGATTAAAATTCATTCAAAAGAACCTGTTATTTTTTTTAAAAAACATTTCACCCCTGTGATTGAAAGTCGAACAAAGTCATTATGTTGAACAAATTTTATAGCCTTTCATCTCAGGATGCAACTTGCAAAGTATCAACATCCTGGGACCCATGGTTATTCAGAAGAGGTCGTTTAAAGATTTTAAACATATTTGACCCCTGTGACCTTGAATATGGGTGAAGGTAATTCATTTGAACAAACTTTGTAGCCCTTCATCTCAGCATGCTACTGGCCAAATATCATCACCCTGTGCATTTTGGTTATTCAGAAGAAGTTGTTTAATGTTTTTCACATATTTGACCCCAGTGACCTTGAATATAGGTGAAGGTCATACATTTGAACAAACTTGATAGCCCTGTACCCCAGCATGCTACTGGCCAAATATCATTACCCTGGGCATTTTGGTTATTGAGAAGTTGTTTAATTTTTTTTAAGACAATTGACCCCTGTGACCTTGAATATAATTGAAGGTCATTCATTTGAACAAACTAGGTAGCCCTTCATCCCAGTTTGCTTCTGGCCAAATAGCATCACCTTAGGCCTTTCGGTTATTAAGAAGAAGTCGTTTAAAGTAAAATATTGACGCCGGACGGACCGACGTGCCAGGTGAGCTAAAAATAATTAATTTACAGTACAACAGATTCCATGATGTAAGAAGGAATCAAAATTTTCACAAGTACCTATATATGTGGTATAAGCAGTCATACGTTTAACTGGATCGTGGTAGCATAAGGGATATTTTTTAATTAATATTTTTTTGTTTTATATATGAAAGATCTATAATGCCTTTTTGCAAAATTAGCAAGGAGAATTAAAACAGTTTTGGCCTTAGTTTTGAACGAGAACTGTTTATAAAGGGTAATGATTTTAGTAATCCGGGGAGACTTGAAACACTAAGGTAAGCAGTAAGGGAGGTGGCAAATAAAATAGTACAAGAGTGTAAATGTATGTTATTTCCAGATTATTATGGCAAAGGGAATTTCTGGATTGGTTCTAGATGTTAATGCTTGTTTCCCCCCCTGATAGCCACTACGTCAGCATTGACTTAATATCCTGTTTGAAACTTGCTGGATATGCATGACTGGTAATCAGTGTTAAATATTTATCTAGTTCAGAGATAGACTTCCTGACTATGGGTTCTAACGCTGTGAAGCAAGGTTTTAATTCTTGGTTTTTGGCAGCCCCCCTCCCCCCCAGCTTTCCATTATCATGCTCTAAGCCATCATTAAACTACTGCAGTCCAATTTTCAGCTGTAGAGTTTTCAACATTCCTTTCATTAACGGCTAACCATTCTGAGCGTAACAGCAGGTTTCACTTACAACAAGCTAGCCTATCCATACATTGTACATTCTTATGATTCTCCCCCAGGAAGTTTATGCAGTATAAATGGTTTACAGTTATCAAGGAAACCTAATTCTGTAACATTAATGTACATGTAGTGAACTTACTGGAACACACACACTTTAAATTCAGTTTCCTTTCTTTGTACTGTAACACACCAATACTTGCCTTCTGTCATTCAGCTCATAAATTCAGATTAACAGCAGGGTTCAATATTAAGCAAGCACAATAGCTAGCTAGGGGGCCAGTAAAAATGACCTTCAGGTACCAACCCTTTCCCATAAATGCTAGTCCAATGGGCTCGTTGTAGGTTGTTTGCAGAATATGGCTTGTCAGAAATCTATATCTCTACCATTTCATAGAATGAACTTTTTTTAAATTATTTAAACAAGACACATGTCCAGTTATACCATTGTCATGAATTTCCGAACTCGAACAATGAAATAGAATAGCGAACTAATCTCTCATTAAACACTAACCCATATGCCAATCCTTGAAAATTGAAATTGTGTTCATACTCCTTTATTTGCATTCGTAACATTTGAAACATTTAGATAACCCCTTTAAAATGAAGTGTTTTGACTTGTTAGCTGTAATGAATTGCATGGTGCGTACAGGTAGTCATGCAAGTTAGCTAATTAACAACTACAGAGAAATGCATGCAGACTTTTACATTAATTACACAACCTCAGGCAATGGATGTAATGTCAGTAGGCGGTGACTGGGGTTTGAAGCAGTATTACTTTGTATAGGGTTCCAGACAGTGATTTGGGCTTGAGGCAGTCTTAATTTGTATAGGGTTCAAGACAGTGATTTTGGTTTGAGGCAGTATTACTTTGCATAGGGTTCCAGACAGTGATTTTGGTTTGAGGCAGTATTACTTTGTATAGGGTTCCAGACAGTGATTTGGGTTTGAAGCAGTATTACATTGTATAGGGTTCCAGACAGTGATTTGGGTTTGAGGCAGTATTACTTTGTATAGGGTTCCAGACAGTGACTGAGGTTTGAAGCAGTATTACTTTGTATAGGGTTCCAGACAGTGACTGAGGTTTGAAGCAGTATT